GGCCCGGTACCGGGCCGGTCGGGTTCAACAGGTTAAGAAAATGATTAAACCATGACTAATAATAGTACTAAGAAAAAGCAAAATAAAACACATTTCACTCTTTTCTTTTCACAGTGTTATACTTCTGGATAAAGAGACATGCAAAGATTAATTCAATAAACTTTGAGTAATGATATATTGACCAAAATCTCTAACAGAAGATTAAATGAGATAACATACATATAGGACTTATTGTCCTATTCACTTAAAGAAAATAAAAACACTTTAAAATGATTTTCTTCTTATAAGTGTAAAAAATAAAATCAAAGACAAAGAAAAAAAACAATAGAAAAGTTTTTTTTCACCAGGGTTACCTCTACACTTGTATAATGATGTAAAAATTAGAACAAACTCTTCATAATAAATTAAAAAGGTATTTAAATGGGGAGTGGTGAAATGCCATTATGTTTCCCTTGTGAAAATAAAACTGTTGGGCTTCATTTGGAAACTCAGACATCAATTCTGAGTTTCACATTGCCAGACAGGACACAGTAAAAATATTAAAATAAAAAAACTTTAGTCTTCAACACTGGATAGCACTGTTCTTATGAACAGACAGAGGTAATTGTTTGGTATTTCTGGCTCTATGTTACACTGGTTCACTTCTTAAATATCTAAAAGGTCTTATTGTTTTTATAAATCAGGCTTACTCTGATGTTGCACCACTGTCTTGTGGGGTACCCCAAGGTTCAGTTTTGGGCCCAGTCCTCTTTTGATTGTATTTATACCCTTTAGGAGAGAGTAAAGTGTTATATCATCTGTATGCTGATGACWTACAGTTGTACTGTTCCTTTCAAGCTTCTGAGTTCTACGAACTGTCAGAAATAAAAATATGACTGAACAACTACCTGCAGTTAAATGCAAAAAAGACTGAGACTCATATTATGGCTCCTGATGATAAAATCCCTGTAATCAGGCAGCACCTTGCTTTTTTAACCCCTTCAGTGAAAAATAGTCTTAGAAATCTGGGTGTGGTCTTTCGACAGTCATTGTAAAACGTTAGTTCGTAGCTGTTTTTATCATTTAAGAAATATTTTGAACCTGAGATATTCTGTGTCACAGAAGGAACTAGGGATGATTGTTCATGTTTTTAGTTCTTCTCGTTTAGATTACTGTAACAGCCTTTTTATGTGTCTAAACAAATCCTTTGCTTTTTTTCCTTCACGTTTTTTCTGTGCAGAACACTGCAGCGAGGTTATTAACAAAGACAAACAGAAGAGCTCACATCACTCCTGTTTTAGCCTCTCTGCATTGGCTCCATGTGCATTTGAGGAGTCATTTTAAATTTTTGGTTTTAACCTTTAGAGCACTTGATGGTCAGGCCCCCAAATACATATTGGACCTTCTGAAGCCTCTCTGTCCATCCAGGACTTTGAGGTCAAGTCAAATGCTGCTGGTGGTACCTTGAACCCATTACAAAATCCATGGAGACTTTTCAGGTGGTGAACACTGCTCAGATTCTACTGACTCTTTTAAGAAACATCTTAGAGATCACAGAACAACCAAAGTGCGTAA